CGCCCACTATAGCCTTCCACACGGGTATCGTTCCGTCCGGGTTCTTACCCAACAGCTCCTCCCGGATGTACTCATATAATGTCATTCGGACTCCGGAATAGACTTCAAGAATATATTCAATAGATTTTAGTATTGAATTGAAGACACAATTTGTTTGTCTTTTAGGTCGAAATGCATTTAAGGTTTCAATTGTGTGTCAAATGAATTTCGACGTCAAATCACTGAATCCATACCTACGTGACGGTATATGGCGGGTGACAATCCCTGCCACAGCCGTAGAAAGCCCTCCTCTTTCACTGCAGGGAACCGGAAGTCAATTGATTACAGAAGTAAAACATTTATAAAAATATATTTAAATGTCATGTGATTTCATTTTAATTAAAATCATTTCTAGAACTTTGCCTAAATTATTGGAAAAGTATTTCTTAAGAAAAATATTGATTTTTGTCATGAATATTGTAAATCATTTTGATTTAAACTATAATTTATTGCTTTATAATTGGCGATAGAGTACTAAAAGGCTTCATTTGAATGTGTGGGCGAGAGTTGTAGTGTTTAAAAGTGTTTGAAATATAGGTATAATTGAATTTATGCTAGCGTTCAGTCTCTGATCTAAATCTATAGTTATAATTATGAATGAAATGATATATTCAGACAATATTCACAACACAAACAGTTTTATAACTTGAATATCAGAAAGCGTTCGCTCATTAATTGAACCCGAATTTTGATTGATTGAGAAAATTGTTTTGTTTTTTATTTTATTTTCAAATATAAAGTCCGAATGAATTAATAGAAATGCAATATATTTTCAAAACGATAGTCTAAAAATGTTTATGACAAAACTGACTAAATGGATACCAAATTAAGTGATAGGTTTAAGCCTTTATTCAAACAATCAATTTTTATTAATAGATTATAAAAAACAAATAAAAAATTACTAAAAATCTATTTTTAAAATTGCTGTAACTAATGATTTCTCAATAAATCTTGTTTTTGTTTTTAATTCCTAATATTTTTAGATTTAATTTCTTGAGTATAATAAAATGAGTTTTAGTGTAAATAATCAAAGAAATTAATTACTGTATATATCAAAATTGTGATAATCATCAAAAATATCAATTAATTTTCACTCAAGAAAACTTTGAAACCATAGCTTTTTATTATTTCGATATATCTTTAGATATAATAAAACTCATTAATAATTAATATAATGAAAAATATACCAAAATAAAAATACCACTAATAAAACCAACAAAACTAAGTAACTTTTTAAGATTTTTAATTTTTGTAAGTCTTATGTATCATAAAGAATATTTTATGTATACAAAATTGTGCATACATTATGAGTGTATTTAGTAATTGTCTGTATATTAAATTCATATCATTAGTAAATTGTGTGAAATGACATACCGATGCCGAGTGCGGTGCCAGCCATCCCCCGGTGGGCGATCACTCGCTGGCCCTTAACGCTCTCATATTGTGTCAGCGCTTTCTCGCCCTGTATTTGCAAACGACCTTTGGTTCAGATAATAGACAAACAATTGTTTTAATGTACTTTTCTTTACTTATTCATTGAGACTTTGATCTCTCGTATAACTAAATGTTTATACTGTATAAATTATACATGTGTCAAATAAAGCACAAATCAGTTAATAACTCGTGATAATCAGACACACTTTAAAAATAATTTTAATTAAATATTTTTACTTAAAAAGTACCCATTTGTATCTGAATGACAAATCATGCATTGAATGCAATTCATTGATAAACAATCAGTAGAATTGAGTGAATTATGTACTGAATTTGTCTTTGAGCTGTACTTATTTTAGTTGTACTCCCGTTCCCCCCATAGAGATATAACTTTTCTTTTCTTAACTATATGGGGAAAATTATTTTAAAAATAAGTTATAAGTTATAACCTCAAGAATATAGACTTCCCACATCCCTGTGCGCATCCAGAATATCATCATTACATGCATTGTATATTTTAAATGCAATAATAATTCAATTTTCGACATAAAAATATTTTACTTCAAAATTTAAAGTCAGAATTTATAGGAATAATTATAAAACATCTCAATAAGTACAGCAAAACAATAATAAGGTATTTAAAAACAGTTTTCAAATTCAAATGACTGTTTGTCTGCATATAAGGAAAGGACAACTCGTATATGAAATACAATACTTATCCGTAATTCTGTGGTGTATTTAGTAACTAAAAAAGTCTACCTAATAAGCACTGGTATTACGAGTCAGTGCCACCACTTTTAATGTCTATTATTTAAAAACTACTTATATTAATGAGCATTTTTTCAAGATAATTATTAATTCATAAAAAACAATTTTCATAGAGTATTTCCTAATGTATGAAATATTTTATTCTCCCAAAAATACGGCACTTTTGTACTCAATTTAAGACAACTTTTTCCGACTAAACGCAAAACTATTTCAATACATATAAAAAAAAGTTATAAAACTATATATTAATCGATGAATTAAAAACACTTAAATGCAAATGAGTTACTAATTTAATGTTGACCTCAATATAGTCCTCAATATTTGTTACAAATCAAGAAGTTATATAACTGTATGTAATGTTTGCCTCATGTGATCGCAAATGAGAAACAAGTTTTCTTTATAAGTCTAAACCGATTGGCCATTGAATTGAGTGATTATTTCCGACTCAAACGGTTTGCAAAATTAATTTGCGGTATAAATCAATTGCATAAAAAAATACCGCAAATATAATATTAGCCTTTAATGTATATTTAATGCAAATTAAGGCATAAACAAAATCTTATGGCTATACTTCTGGTGATTACAATGAGTGGGCCATACCTTTGATGAGATCCAACGGATAGGTAACTGAAACGATAATCAAATCAGTGAGTGATCAATGGCTACAGTAGTAGACAATTGTGTGATTCGTGGTAATGAGGAATAAATTACTTGTTTCGGCACAACTGGCCGCGAAGAATGAAAGAGTGTACTTGAATACAAAGGTCTCGTGATTAGTGTCCGGCTTATGGGACACATGGGGTCCCGGTTTCACCACCAGATTCTGGTCATCCAATGGCAGGGGTAGGGGTAGGGGTTCACCGGTTTTGCGCTTTTGCGGTGAAAACGGTTTAAAACTTTCGCCCAAAACCATGATTTGTGGTTAATATGGCTATCAATACATCCAATGATTTCGATACTTATCGTTAGTATGAATACACAATAATTAGTTATTTATTATTATTATTATATTTTATAGTCATTTGACTTTTTTCATGAGATTTTTTGTTTATTATAAATAAAATATTTATGAAATAATAACTAAAATTTGAGCAATTAATGGAAAATAAATTAATTTGTATTTCTCGGTACTATTCACATAATATTCATCACTATTGACAGACTTAACGACTAAATGGTGTGTAAATGATAATTACAATTACTATTAGTGAACACAACGTATAGTGAACTGAATGGGGACTCAA